GATGGGTCCGCTTGCGATGCACAGCCCGGCTGTCGGCTGCATGGCGCTTTCCGTGGGGCCTGCCGCCCGCTCGTCTGCTTCACGGCGCCTTACGTCTGATAAAGGTGCAGGCTTACCACGTCGCGCAAATTTAGCACAAAGTATAACAGCTTGGCGCATTATTCGCACGTTACGGAGACGCGTTTTCGAGATGGAACAGTCTGTCAAAGAAGGTGTACAAAAGTGGCGATACTTACATCGTGACTGTCCATTTTGGTTATTATACCTTTAAAATATTCTATGAACGAAATGGTACCGTTAATTACATCAGGAGATGAATTAATAATAGATTATTATTATAGATAATAGATTATTAGATAATATATCTGTTATTATTCACTCTTGATTACATGTTATCGCAGCGGAGGAACGTGTTTCAGGATGGCGCACATAACAGTCTGTAAGCTTCAGCGTAAGGGCAGACAGACGGGAGGGCTCACGCAACATGCGCACGCCTAATTAAATATAATTGTCTCCTATTAAACAATAGTAGTAATAATAATTGAAAGTTAAAAAAAAACACTTAGTAAATACGAGAAGTGCGCGGAGCGATGCATTGTTTCAGAAGGGCATACAGTACTAATATATATATTCTTAATACTATGGTGTAATAACGTTAGAAGAACCTTGGAGTAATCATTCTGACTGATTACTCCAAGGAAGAATATAGGAAACATCCTAAATATTATGCCCGGCTGGTTGTTTCTTATCGCTACGCAGGCGAAGCCGAGTTGTGGTCCTTATTGACGAACATGTCCCGCGATGACTAAATAGCGTAGAGACACTTCTATAAGCGGGTAGTGACGAAATACTCGATCGCCACGAGATCTCGTCCCTGAGAGTGTCGCGAACTATGTTTGCTTACCGTGCAAAACACACAGCGCGGAATATACGACGGCTGCAGAGCTTTCCAACGATACGCGCTGTTCTGACAACAGTACAAATTGTTCATCTCGAAGGTGTAAAATAGGTGAGAAAATTCGTGTCTTGCCTCTATCATTATGCTATATATCTTTTCACGCTGGACTTTACGGGACAGGTAGATGCATACAGGCATAAATAGACGTTGCAAAGTGACAGCCTGTGTGGCAGGGCCTGCGGTCGTAGAAACTTTTTCGAAAACGACTTAAAATTCCGCGAACGTGTGTGCGCAAGTAGAACGTTTGCCTCCTTCATATGGAAATGAACGGTCTGTCATTCGATGGCCGAGCAACAAGCCAGGTTGTCAAGACACGAAGTGATTTTGTCAGTGGCATTCATACCGCGAGAATTTCTCGGACAGGATATCGAATAATATTAGTGCAGTAAATCGTAAATTCTCATCACTGCTTAAAAAAAAACCGTTTGAAGAGAATGCTTCCATTGGAAACAACTACAAACTCTGATGAACCGCGATAATGAAATATTCATAGACGACTCGGGCCACAGTGTTTCTTAGGTTTACACCTATCATTATTATTCGCTGTGAACTTGTCGTAATAAATAGATAAACTGGTATTAAATATACATAAACGCATTTATAATTATAGTAAAACAAACTCATGTTGTCGGCATCTATAAACAAACACACAAAAATCATCATAAATAAATTACTACATACGCATTCGCCGCGCACACGCGCCCAAATTACACGAGCGCGCACAAGGAGGCGCATACACACATACGAACGCACGTACTTACCCACAAACTCGTGCACGCACGCACATACCCGCACCAACGCACACACGCACGGACACATCGTACATTCTTAATTCAATCCAAGTATAGTCGGACGCGACTGAAAGCGGTACTTACTATATTGCTTGAAATCGTTGATCTCACAATTAAATATTTCTGAATATCCTTCTATTATATATGTATACACACACACATACGCACGAGATTGCACGCACTGGCCGTGAATTGTATTCCCTCTCGACGGCGGATAATGTTTGTCTGTCGCAGGCAATCGCTTAGCTCCGTTATAATTGCAGCCAGGGCCGAGCCTGGGTCGAGCCTAGCTGGAACTCTTTTCTCGTCTGCTGTTTACGAGAGAGTCGAAAACAAAAGCCAACGCGTCGTGAGAACGCTACAGCGAGATCTCACCTTTCTATCGCGTATCCACGTATTATTGTCTATAGTCTATCACGCGATGATGGAATCGACGATGGAATCCAGCAGGAACTATTCTCGGAACGGCCGAACTACGGCAGCGCGTAACGGCTATAATGCAACGACGTCGGCGTCGGCAACACGAGAGGAGCTACAGCATATCAGAACGCCGTGGAAAATAATTAATGCCACCGCGAGGAAAGCTGAAGCTTACGGCTGAGGCAGCGACAATATCTCAGCGTGGTTGATTACAATCGACATCGCCGGCATCAAAGCCAGCTCAGTAGCACAAAGTCAGACGCAATCGCTAAGCCGATGTCGGACAACGGACCGCCACAAAGCCGAGCACGGAAAACATGAAACTGAGCCCGACCGTATGTCACTTCTGTAATCACATCTTACACAACGGCCGTACTATATTTATACGCGCTAGCTATGTTGTCTCCTCTCAGCGCGTTCGCTCGTATATCACAACACACACACACACACACTGGCGAAACCCGTGCGTAACTCTGGTCGACTCGTGCACATGTGTGTGTGCGAGAGAGAGAGAGAGAGAGAGAGAGAGAGAGAGAGAGAGAGAGCGCGAGAGAGATAGAGCAAGCTGACATCACAGCGACAAAAGCGCTGCACGCTGCCCGCCTCCCTTTTACTCCCTTTCTATTTGCGGCTGCCGCACATGAGCGGTGGTAGCAGGCAGGCAGGCAGGCAGGCGCAGGCAGGCAGTGCAACCTCACCTCATCTAACGTCCGGGCCGCAACCGATGCCTCGCAGCTAGAAGACAAATGAAGCGTGTCTCGCGCACACAGATCCCGACGCCTTTCCCCAAAACCGCCTCGCGGGACAATTATTCCTAAGCGCTTGCTATGTATGCGTGTGTGCGTGATTGCTGCTGCACGCCAGCACTACTGCTCCGTGCGGGGATGTATATACGTGCTAGTTATTCAGCCCGAAACCGATAAGGGTACCACTCCTTGAGCTAGGGCCAATGATGGCGGAAGACGCGGCCCGCGTAGACGAACCAATTTACCGACAAGATAGAAATGGGAAAAACGTGAGACGGGAACGGAGATTACGTGGAGAATCGCGCAAGCATGCAGCGCTCTGCTCAGTAGACAACGCTTCGATTGGCAGGCATGCAGTAATATCGCTGTAGCATTTCAGAGAGTGGGAAAATATAATGCAAGATTATATGTAAAAAAGAACAACGTTATTGAGCGAGAATATGTTTATAAGAATGTGAATATGAGGAACATTTTATTTACGTTATTCTACCACCCTCTGTCTCGTATGAGCTTGAAATTCCCGGATAGTGGTTAATGTTGCGTAGCCTTTGCATGCCAGCACGCGGGATGTGCTGAGATATGCAGAGAGAGAGAGAGCGAGTGAGAGAGAGAGAGAGAGAGAGAGAGAGAGAGAGAGAGAGTTTGTGTCTTATCGCATCCACGTTCGTGCGTGCGTGCTCGTGTCTGTGCATGTACGTGTGTATGTGCGTGTATGTGTGTATATGTGCGTGCGGGCGCGTGTATATGCGTACGTCTATGTGCGCGTGTATCTGCGCACGTGTATGCGTGCGTTTCTGTGAACCATTGTCCATCGCTTCCGGGTATACCCCGTTTCGTTACAACTTCAACCTTGTCTTGAAATTGGAACGTAGAAATACAGAATACTGCTCGCGACGATGGCAGATTTATTGTTCAACAAGTTTGCAGCAAAAGTTGGTAGGACACGAAACACGAGCGGCAGTGCGAATACTAAAATATGGTAGCCGGACACGTGCTTAATTAACACTCACATGAATTTAAAAGATTATGAACCCTTTACGGGGGCGGGCGTGGGATATTATCGACTGTTTAATTGTTGGGTAGCTATACGCTTATTGTAACTTGTGCGCCGCTTCGTACCATGCGATACAGATAATATTCTGTGGTACATACCGTCTTTCTGCCAAATAATCTGTCTAAATGCTTAATATCTCGCTTACCCGTGTACAATCTAGTCACGTAATGCGACATCCCCCTGGTGTCGCATAGGCGTACTAAAGTAGCTGTCCACGGATATTCGCTGCTATGACACTAATTTCGCAGAAACACTAAAATACCTGAGCTTTACACAAACTTTATTGGACTTTCAAGGTCTAAAACACTAATCGAACCACCCGCAGTGCGTTGAGCTCGCAGCTGTGGCAGTGTGACTGTCACCCGCCTCTCTCTCTCTCTCTCTCTCTCTCTCTCTCTCTCTCTCTCTCTCTCTCTCTCTCTCTCTCTCTCTCTACCCATCTCTCTTTCTCTCTCTCTCCCTTTCACGTCATGCCTATCTACCTCTACTTCTCTTGTTCGCTCGTTTGCTCTCACTTTCCCCCCCTCTGTCTCTCGCGCTCTCTCTCTCTCTCTCTCTCTCTCTCTCTCTCTCTCGCGCGCGCTTTCTCTCTGCTATTACTATTCTCGTTCTCTATTCTCGTTCTGCTCTCGCGCGCCTCTGCTTCTCTCTCCTGCTCTCTCTCTCTCTCTGCTCTGCTCTTCTCTCTCTCTCTCTCCTCTCTCTCTCTCTCTCTCGTCTCTCTTCTCTGTCTTCTCTCTCTCTTCTTTTCTATCTTTCTCTCTCTCTCTCGTCTCGGCTCTCTCTTCTCTGTCTCTCTCTCTCTGCTCTCTTTCTCCTCTTTTCTTTGCTCTCTATCTCTCTGCGATGCGCTTCTCTTCTGCTCTCTCTCTCTTTTCTCTCTCTCTTTTCTTCTCTATTTCTTCTGCTCTCTATCTCTCTCTATCTGTCTCTCTCTCTCTCTTTTTCTTCTATTCTCTCGTCTCTATTCTCTCTCTCTGCTCTTCTGCTCTCTTCTCTGTATCGTTTTCTCTCGTCTCTGCTCTATCTCTCTCTCCCTCTCTCTCGTCTCTCGATGTCTCTCTCTCTCTCTCTCTCTCCTCTCTATTTCTCTCGGGTCAGTTCTCTAAAGTCTCTCGTTAATCTCTCATCTCTTCTCTCTCTCTCTCTCTCTCTCTCTATCTTTCCTCCTCTCTCTCTCTGCTCTCTCTCGTCTCTCTCTCTCTCTCTCGGCTCTCTCTTTCTCTCTGTCCTCTCTCTTCTCTTCTCTCTTATTTCTCCATGCTCTTCTATCTCTCTCTCTCTCTCTATCTCTCTCTCCTCGTCTCTCTCGTCTTTCTCTTCTCGTCTCTCTCTTTTTCTTCTATTTCTCTTCTCTCCTTTATCTCTCTTCTCACATGCTCCTCTCTCTCTCTCTCTCTTTTTTCTCTCTATTTCTCTTCTCTCTATCTCTCTTTCTCTCTCTCCTCTATTCTCTCTCTCTCTCTCTCTCTGCTCTCTCGTTCTCGTCTCGTCTTCTCTCTGCTCTCTTCTCTTCTCTGTGTCTCTCTCTCTCTTCTCTCTGCTCTCTTCTCTTTCTCTCTCTTTATCCTCTCTCTCTAACTCTCTCTCTGTGCTCTGCTCTGCTTCTTCTCTTTTTATCTCATATTTCTCTCTCTCTCTCTCTCTCTCTCTCTCTCTCTCATCTGTCTCTCTCATCTCCTCTCTCTCTCTCTCTCTCTCTTCTCCCTCCTCTCTCCATCTCTCTCTCTCTCTGCTCTCCTCTCTCTCTCTGCTCTCGCCTCTGCTCTCTTTCACTCTCTCTCTCTCTCTCTCTCTCTCTCTCTCTCTCTCTCTCTCTCTCTCTCTCTCTCTCTCTCTCTCTCTCTCTCTCTGACCTCAGGCGTGTAAGCAACCACAACGTCATCCTCTAGAGAATAAGGAGCAATAAAACAAACATGGAGGCGAGAGGGAGGAGGAGAAAGGGTGATGCTGTTTCGTAAAAATATCTGTTATTGTCCACCGTGTAAATTACTAATGCCCCTAAAGAATTCACCATTTATCCGCGTTTATGAACTTAAAGTTACACGCACATGTAAGTCAGGTCGGTTCACCAACGGGAATAACGTTAAACCCTTCAGTTGATCAGACACTTATCCGTAGCGAAATTTTGCCTGAGGTCAAGGCTGATTGCCGTAGAACCTACTCGGTGTGTTCGAACGTCATTGCTGATCAATTCTTTAGGGAGTCACGCTCAGCTGCCGTTGTCTGCATTTTCCCCACTTAGATTAGGTGGAACGCGATTAGCTAATCACGCTTAGCTGTTAGATCAAGACTTTTCTCCCTTGCAGAGACAAGCTGCCCGCTACAAAGTTCACGCGTTTACGTAGTTTAAATTATTGCTTGTCGCCTTATAAGCGCGCGTTCGTAGCTCTGCGAAGATGGGACAACTAAAGCGTAAAAGCTCACATCGGTGGTGTACAGTGAGGGCCCGCGTTAGATTATCCACGTAGGTTATGGTTCTCAAGACTTATGAAGAAACATGTATACTATTATGCACATTATACATATACAATAAGTAAATAAATACACACACACACGCACGCACGCACGCACGCACGCACGCAAGCACGCACACACACACACACACACACACACACACACATACATATATGTGTGATAGGTATTTGCGCAGTCACATTAAAAGAATTTTTTAAATGTTGACGACGTCATGTGTACAAACATGCAATTAATGTATTTTGCTCGGCGAAGCTTGCATGGGCTTTGGGAACTAAGTTCCGGTGGGAAAAATTCCGGGATTTTGATCCTAACCCTTCCTCTCATTTTTTTGTCAACGTCGCAGTGAAAAAGGTCCACGTTTCTACATAGACGACGAAGTGTGATAACTGTGCTGCTGGGAACATAGGTGCGCTGCGGGCGCTCGAAAAAGTGACGTCAACATATTACACTTTCACAGCATTGACTCTCGCGCGGGTTGCTGCGATTGTTATACAGGGGGGCTTGCATCCAAGCAGAGTATGGTGTTAATACACACGCTGCGATTAACGTCAGAGGCGTGATTCTCTTAGTGAATGCAGCCGGCGATACTCAGTGGGAGACCCTCAAGTAGACATCTCCGACTAGATTTGTCCTCACTGCGACAACAAAGCGCTTTGCTGGTTTCCACTAACCTGATTTCTGCAGTCACAATGACTGATTAGCGAGAATTGTATGGCTGGCACACCCACTGACCATTGAAGAATCATAGTTTACGCATTGGTTTATCACGATTAGAATACATCTAAGCCGCTGGTGGTTATAAAGAGCTCGTACGTAGGCCCCGTAGTGGTATTACCTACAATCGAACGGGGCTACACGAAAAGGTTTTAATCCCTATATATGTCTGGAATGTCAAACATATTTCTGTCTGTCTGTTCCTCTGTCTCTTTCTCTCTCTTTCTCTTTTCCTCTTTCGCGCGCTCTCTCTCTCTCTCTCTCTCTATATATATATATATATTATATATATATATACATATATATATATATATAGATATATATATATATATATATATA